CCCCAAAACCCCAAAACCCCAAAACCCCAAAACCCCATTTTGGATTCATAAAAGTATGCTATTTGATTGATATTATAATATAACAATTTTATAAAATGGAAAAAATCTGGGTAATAACTCTAATTGAAGCTTTGCTTTTGCTGGGATATTGCATTTACATGGTCTGGAGTTATGCCTCTAAGGAAAGAACTCCGATATTTGTCAAAGCAACCACAGTCTTTGGCTGGTTTCTTGGATTTATGATTATCTTAATTATACCACTAGATATTTTCAAGGTAATTTATAACAATATTCTATAAAGTTTATAATTATTCCATTTTCTGACTTATTCTGGCATTCTCATCAGTTTCATAGGTAAAAGTTGACGGTAACAAGGACAGTTTTATGGTTAGCTGGTGGTACTTCAATTATTGGACAATCTTCGCTATGAATTGGTTCATCATCCCATTTATGATTGAATATTTCAGCTCTGGAGACTTTACTTATAAAGAAAAGTTTAAGAGAGCGATAAGAAATTTTATTCCACAGTTCATCCTATACATTTCAGTTTTCATACTTGGAATAGTAATACTTGCTTGTTATGAAAATGGAAGAGCAGCCTTGAAAGAGTAAACATATTGAATTTTACTGATATATTAATAGGGAAGGGGTTCTTGGTTGTATTATTGGGCTATCATTGATCTTCGGGTTTTTGGAGCTAGTAATTTTGTTGGGTTATGGATTAGTCCAAATCCCTTTATCCTACTTTAGATTATCTTCAAATAACAGAAGATTAAAAATGTATCAATACAAAGTCACCTAATTCCATGAGTCACTAATCAGCAAATCAATGAAATGTCAGAAATTAATATCTGTTGCAAATTAGATATAAGTTTAAAATTCTCATCAAAAGTACAAACTTCATATCATGGAAACAGTAATATCTTTTGGTTCATATTTTAAATAGATCAATCAATTTGTTAAGGTAATTGCAGAAGAAGATTTGAAAATTAGCGCAAAACCACAAAAATAGGTTAAACTTGAAGAAAAATATCAAGGAACACTGTCATATGATTAGCTAATCAAACTAAGATAAAAGATAAAGTTTTAGACGATTGATATTCTAAGACTAATTACCTTTAAAAAAGAAGCTATTAAAAAAGCAATATTCCAGCAAGACATTGTTGATGCTGTATCAAGAGGTGATTCTGTAATCAAATCATACTTTGTAAAAGACAGAGATCCAATTAGGTGCTGCGATAGCATATTAATTCAACTTAGTATATATTTCACTTTAAAACTTTTAGCTTATTCTTGGTATGTTTCTTGGAAGCCAATTTTAATGCTCATTCTTGGAGTCATATTCACTGCTTTAAGTCTCATAATCTGGCTTGCAGAGCTATTATACTGCTTTGGTGTAGATAACGATATCATTAATGATATGATAGCTACTCCTGACCTTAACAATGCTTCAAACTACATCATAGACAATGTATGATTTAGCTATACTTAATTAAATCTTTTAGTTGGTGTGCTTAATTCCTTTAGTCTATTTGATAGCAGCTACTAACTTCGGTCTATTCAAACTTAGAACTTCTAAAATTTATGCTCTTCATCCCAATCACAACACAGATCCATCATGCTTGCTTTTCTCATGTTTATTCATAATGAGATTATCTGTGCCCATCGTTTATAATTTCCTACTCTTAACTGAAGTTAAGGCTACAGCAGCATTTGAAGTCTTATCACCAGTTAGCTATGTTAACTTTATGGGTGAATCTTTCAATAAATATGCTTTCCCCTGCTTGTTAACCATCATGATTCTTCTAAGCATTTTTAATCTCTATAGTAAGGATTAATAAATCCTTATAAAAAATTTAGGTAAACTCATGATATGCATTGGACTCAAATAATATGCCTTTGATAATGACTATTAGGAAGAAAAAATTGAAGAGGGTAGAAAGATTGTTGAATAATATAGAAATGAGAAACTTCTACTTCTAGGAAGTTCAAAATCTAATCGATCTTCCTCTAGAAAGAAGATTCTTCCAGATTTAGAATAGTATATTTTTGTAATCACTTAATGCTTTTATTTAGACCAGTAATGAGTAGTGTTAAGAGATCAAAAATTAACTAAGAAACTCTAGATGGATCAGATTTACTTTTCAGCTCTGGTAATGAAGATAATTAAGAAAGTCCAGAAAACAATGATAATAAGGGCTCCTTCGCCTATGATAATTCAAGAATGAGTGCTAGAATGTCTCTCAATACTTTTAGAATGGATGATGACGACGAAGAAAAGGCAAGAAAAGGTTTGAGAGGATTTTTTAGACAAGTTTTTCAGAAAAAATGAAAAAAATGCTTATTAACTCGCAAAAATTTATCTATGATCATCAAATAATTTTGTAATGCTATATAACACTTTAAAAATTATATATTTTATTATGTGTATTTATGTATTTATAAAAAATACATAAAATAAATATCATGGGGTTTTGGGGTTTTGGGG